TTACTACATACAGTAGGCACTCTGATTCCATGAATGGGGCACATATATATTATTCATATGAATACAAACACAAGTAGACAAAACCTGTTTCGTTCAAAAGCTCACTCGCGACTCGGACTACTGTCATTGCGACTCATCACGTTGTCCCCTAACTGTCCTATGAATATTTCGACTTCGTCTAACATACCCGGTGATATTAGACAAAGTCTCCACCAAAATACTGTCGCCGCAATTGCGGAGAGGCTCTGATAAATCGCACACTACAGTAGCTCCACTTTTAATTACACTGATTCAATGCACTCTAACGCGAACATTTTGTATGGAAGCATGACGTTTTTTGGAGTCGGGGATGAAGTATGACATGTCTGCCATCCAGTGGAGGGGAGGTCGAACGAAATTTGACACCCAATTTGACAAAATCGGCCGTTTTATTCAGTGATGCATCTTCTCGAGTAAACTCAAATGTGGTGCCTAGAGGGTTAAAAGGGTTAAAATCTCAGGGGGTTCTTCACTTCAAGTAAATATTATCAAATATAAGTTTTTAATAACCCCTGCTGTACATTATAATGTTGTGAAGCCTAAATGCACTTGTAACATTCCAAATAGCATCTTTTGATTAATTGTTTTAGTTTTAACGATTCATTTTTAAGTTATAGTATATGATTTTAGTATCAACCATTTATCTTTTTTTCAGCCGTAACAAGAAAAAAGTTATTGCCTTAAATTAAAGTTATGATTTTTTTTTTGGTGCTGCATTTGCATTATTGGATTGTTTATATTCTAATTATATGTTCATAGATATACTTCTCACAGAAAGAAAAATAACAAAAACATCTTGTGCTCCTCTTTTTTTCCCTCAGAATATGGACTGGGAGGCTCTTCTCCTCCGTAAACTCCCTCCTCCCTTCCTTCCGTCCATCGGAGGAAAAGAAGATGTCAGCAACTTTGATGAGGAATTCACAACCGAAGCGCCGAATCTCACTCCGCCTCGTGAACCGCGGGTGCTCTCGAGGAAGGATCAGGACAGCTTCCGAGACTTTGACTATGTCTCTGATCTCTGCTGAGAGCGTCTTCACTGTGACAGTGCCGTAGAGAGACATATCTGCTCCGTGACTCGGTGACGATGAGGACAAGAGTGGCCAATTTGAGTGAATTGTGAATGAGCTGGACCTGTGAACACTGTGAAGGAAGAGAGAAAGCTCTGGAAAACCATTAGAAACCGGTTTAAACATAGATATCCATAATAAAGGCTAGATGGAGTCTCTATTGTCATCACCGGCGGCCATCTTGTCTCAGGCAAGCTGATGTAAGATGAGTGATCAGCACGAACATAAATACTCTTATCTCGTTAAAATCTTGACAGATTTACAAACGGTTTGGTTTCTTACAAACGTGCCTATAATTCTGCCTATAATGATTATTTATTTATACACTTATTATTCATTTGTATGCAACTACATCTCTGACGTTTCTAACAAACCAAACCGTTTGAAAATCGGTAGAAAATTGAGCAAGTTATAGTTATTTAAAAAGTACATGCACCATTAAACACAATGTTACGTGTGAGACAAGATGGCCGCCAGGTGCGGACGTCGACCTCTATTGGCCAGCAGCGCGGACGAGACATCTAGCCTTTATTATGGATATCTAAGGGTTTAAAGGTGCACTCAAGCTTTTTTTTAATGTTGCGCTTCGACTCACACTGACACCTAGTGGTTTGGATGAAGCGTCGCACTCGTGGAAATGCATTATTCGCAGTCAGCCACTCGTGAAAGTGTACAATGACAGGTGTGTTACTGAAATGGGGGTTGAGGTCATGTGATCTCAAAATGGCGGCCCCCATCAGGGGACCCTCTTCATGTAGAATAAAACAGCTTTTATTAGGCTACTCATAAGACTAGAGTCCTCATCCTATGTGAATGGTCATCATTTTAGTTCAAAAGTAATATTTATATCTTTAGAACTAAAATGTAAAAAAAAAAGAGTGCACCGTTAAACCTGTTGAAATTGTTGGTTTGTCTTCAAGTGTCATATCTGCTTTTGGAAAACGCATATTGTCTTACCGAAGACAATCTGATGATCCGTTTTAAAACTTGAAGCAAATCAATAAACGCCACACGGAGGCATCTCTGTGAACTTTTTTGAAAATACGAACAAGCATTTTGGTAAATGCTCTCTGTTCATTCTGACATTTAGGGAAGAAAATTATCTTTCATGACCTCTGAAGAACCAACTGCTAACAATCTTTCTCAACCAATGTCCATTCAAACAGGAGGAACTGGATAATTTTCACTGACATGACGGGGACCAGGACCCCCAAAAGGAGCGCATCTCTGCAGACACTGTGACATTACATTACGAACAAGAGCGTTACGTTGAGAGCAGGATTTTCTATTAAGGCCAATTCTAGCTTGAACATTTAATGAATGTGTACTTGGTTAATGAGTTAAAGCCTCTTTACATTTGTCCATTCTGGCTATATCGCACCAAAATATTCATCTTCAAATCAAGCATATTGAAATTTAGGACAGCAACACGGTTTGAAGACCGCTTGGTCCCCTTCATTAAGTGCACTTTTAGTATGGCTACCTTTATGAATTTGTACAAAAACAAATAAACCTCTCATGTAAAGTCGATTTGAACAAAATGCCTTAAAGATGTTCCTGTTAGCTCTGCCCTCTGCTCTCTTTTACATTTAGAGGTTGTTTTTCTTGGTTGCCTGTTTCTTTTTTTCGCTGGGAATGGATCATGTTACACGGGAGAATTGTCTTATCTGGAAAATGAATTTGTCATTTACTTTACAATGCATATGTAAAACTAGTGTATGCTCATCAAGACAGTGTCATGTGATAAAATGACAGATCATTTATACTCAGACTGAACAAGTTCTTTGTGGGCTCAAATATTTGATCTTTTGAATGTGATTATTGTACTGGAGTAAAGGAGAAATAATGTTTGGTTGAATATTTTCACAAGCTTCAATCACTGAAAGTACACCTGTAAACATTTTTTTTTAACATTAGTTCGATGCTATGATGAATCTGAGCAAAAGGGTATAAAACCACTTTTGTTTAAAGACTATGGACTCCATTAACTGATACTTTGTTTCCATTTCGTTTATGTTTTTAGATATCTGTTAAATAGAAAACGCTATCTGTTGTTTATTTTAGCTATGATGCGAGTGACTGGCAACTAGTGACTGCTATGTGTTAGTTCTGGGATTACACCCTTTATTACCTCAGAGCTATTTTGATGCCTTTGAAACATTATGTGCAGTTTTTATTAGACCGTTTGTGCGAATGACACACCATGACATATCTGTTACTTGCTAGGAGCTGATGATTAAATTGTTTTTGATTTTTGAAAGCATTTTATTACACACACACACACACACACGGATGAAGCCAAAAAATAAAATGTGCACACTGTGAAAAAATGTGTAGCAAAACCGCCGCCCTATCATGTCAAAGTTATGCATAAAATGTTTGCAAATGAAACACTTTTGTATCATTTCACAACACATTTCCTCCTTTGTGTCGGACTGCAGACTAATACTGTACATGTTCTGTACAATTATACAATCCATAAACCTATTACAGTTGTATTTATAAAGCTGTTGTTGAGATGATCATGTGTTTGTGTTATTGTGTTCTGTATCATTTTTTACAGAGTATCCTGAATTATACAATAACTTTTTACTAACTTACTAATAACTATTGAATGTTGCTGTTACCCACTGTGGCCACAAGGGGAACGCGGATCGACAACAGAACCGGAAGAGAATGCTGAATAAAGTCGTAGTTTTTGTTATTTTTGGATCAAAATGTATTTTCGACGCTTCAAAAACTTATAACTAACCCACTGATGTCACATGAACTACTTTGATGATGTCTTTATTTCCTTTCTGGACAAGGACAGTATATCGTACATCATAGGCCTACCTTTTCAATGGAGGGACAGAAAACTATGGGATTTTTGAATGGGTTTTTGCTAAATCGCCCGAAATAAGGTCTGCGGTGTGAACTATAAGCCTCTAAATAGTTTCACGTTTTGATCTATGACAAAAAATATACCAGATATAATAAAGCCTTAAAGATTTTCTTGATAGACAAAATGTGTAAGGGTCACAACTCTTTGTTAAACACAGATCTTATTTGTTACGCTTTTCCAAAAAAAAAAAAAAAAAAAAAAAAAAAGTCTATGGGGAAAATGTATAGCTTTTAGATCGAGGGAACCCATTTGCTGCTAACTTCCGAGTTGTCCTACAAAGTGACGTCATAACTTCGGCACTGCATTCGGATCGAAAGCAATGATTGGACGAACATTTTATGATCATATATGCCTTCCACAGACATATACATACATATAAATATATTAAAACCACTTAACTTAGTGATTGCTATCCGTATATGTGAAGAGACAACCAACATAACAAAAATAATTTTCTGGAACAAATCACCTACCCTGCTTTAAAGCAGCTTTTTACAGTCTATGGTTGCAAACAATTTTGCCAAAACATCAATTCCATATAATCAATGTCAGGAAAAGGTACCGCACAAAAAATATTATGAAATAAAGCGTACATTTAAAAAGACATTTATGAAAGTGATTGTTTGAAAGTGATGATTACATATTCGTATTATGTCTGTGTGTCCGTGCCCGAAGATGTAAACAACACTGGTCCAGAAGCACTTCCTGTTTCAGTTTTTTAACACTACATAAAAGCTGGGATAAAATACAACCGACAGAACATTTAAAACTGAATCAAAAAGTTAAACAAACATCTTTAAGATGTTTTCTTTACATGTGAAATAAAGAAAACAGTTACAAACTGAAACAGGAAGCGTTTCTGGACCAGTGTTGTTTACATCTTGTTAAATGGTCTATACATTTTGCTGTGAAATTTAAACTAGCAGCCTATTAGCCTCGGCTCGGTTTCCCTCATTGATCGCCAGAGGGCAGCTGTGAAGGCGCGGTGTGTTTCCTCAACAGCGCCGCTAGAGAGCAGTGAGTCGCGGCGCTTGATGGGGCCGCTGAAATTTTCAAGATGTCGTCGCTGGAGCAGAGACTCTCCCGAATCGAGGAGAAACTCAAGCAGGAAAATAAAGAAGCCCGCAAACGAATCGACCTGAACATCGACATGAGCCCGCAGCGGACGCGCCCGAGGCCAAGTGAGTGCTTGAGAGAGTGAACGCGTGATTGGTCATAACGACGTAGAGATGAAATACGTTCTACGTGATATAAACAAACCGATAAAATCCTGACACTTCACTCACATTCACTTTTAGGATTCGCTGGTCAAGGTCTAAGTTAGGGGGCTCTGTTTACCAGGGTCTGTACTCCAAATTGTTCATTACGGATTTGTTCTTTTAAAATAAATAAATAAATAAATAAAAATATCTGTCAGTCAGCCCATTAGCGTTAGGCTAGCGGCTAGTTGTTTAGCAGGCCCTGATACTCGCATATCATTCTCACTGAATGTCTGTCTTATTCCCTCCTATCTGTCCGAAAGACTGTTTTATCTTTTTATCTGTGTGTTTGTATGTCTTGTATGTTCTCCTCACTCAATATTATTGGGAATACCATCATTTAGAGGTGCTGTTGGTGTTTAGTGTTGTAAAGTCATCAGTCATGGTAGACTTGTTGTGAATTGCTGGTTTGGTGTTTCTCTTGAGTCTGTCACTGGTCTGTATTTAGAGAATAAGAAAATACATGTTTTCGTTCTCCTTTTTAATTTATCGTCTTAAGCTTTGGTCTGTTAGTTAGAGGATTGTCTTGAAACCATGGCCACGTTGTAGTGGTTTTTATAGATATGATGGGATCATGTTAGGAGTGTAACGTTATTTCAGAGCATTTAAAGTATTTTAGCATTCATTTTATGTGACATATTTGCGTTGTTCTTGCGAGAGTGAAGTGATATATCTGTTCTCAAACCTCCTCCACACAGAAATATACACTGATAGTGTGTTTAATTTGATGTGCTGGTGATGTCCCAGTAACTTACATTAGTTTCCTGACACTCACTATTGCTGTCAATTGTTGCCTTTTGCTGTTTTTTTTTTACCCTAATCACAAACACTTTTAGATTGTCAGCTTGTGTATTTATATGCAGAAATAATTTAGTCTCTTGATGCTGTTACATGATCATAGACAGTAACTGAAGCGGGTGAAGTGTGTAAACTCATTCCTTATCCAATATTTACATTTGGCATGTATGTATATGTTGTTCTGGGAAAAAAATGTTTCACTAATGTTTGCTGTTTCTATCAGTGAAAAGTAAATAATCTGAGAGTCATTTTTAAGAGTTTTTTTTTAATGCTTTTTAATGTTTTACTTTTCCTTTATTGTGTAATGTATTTGTTTGTGCATGGTGTAGATGATCTGCAAAAATCAGTCTCCCTGTCTGGGTCCAGATATCACTTCCTCGAACATCTATGTCACAATGTAAACTATAAGCATAATGGTACTGTTTGTTACATGTGTTTGGAGCGAAAGCAAAACCGCTTTGTATGGCCTTCTGAAAATGGATGAAATTAGGAATCAGAGGTTAATATTTATTTCTAAAGCTTTTCTTGAGCAGTACAACCCAAAAGTTTGTTTGTTTGCAAGTTAGTTTTTATCGATCTGCTTGATCTTCCGCTTCAGTATTAACTGTCTGCTTACAATAGAATCTCGCCTGAAGAAGTATGTCATCCCGCCGGGACTTTTTGCCTGTATCTTTTATTAGTACTGTGAATTCTGACATTGCCACATACTGTTTTTTGTCTACTATATAGCAGGGTAGTATGTGTTTTTCGGATGCAGCTTAAAGGAGTAGTTCACTTTAAAAAAAAACAACTTTTTCTGACCCCCATGTCATCCAAGATGTCCATGTCTTTCTTTCTTCAGTCGAAACGAAATTAAGGTTTTTGATGATTGATGGTTTTTGGTTTTTGTTGTTTCACTGCAAACAACTGTTCAAAGGGCTTTAAACGATTCGAGAAGATGAATAAGGGTTTTATCAAGTGAAACGATCGCTCATTTAAAAAAAATAACAAAGTTTAAGTTTTATAAGCTCAAATAGTCGCCTTGCTCTGTTCTGTGATGAGTTGAATGAACCAAATGACACGAACAAAGATTCGTTCGTTCTGATAAACGAGTTCAAACAGGAGAGTCACGAACGCGCATCACAGAACAGAGCAAGGCGACCATTTGAGCTTATTAAACTTAACCTTTGTTATTTATTTATTAAATGAGCGATCGTTTCGCTTGATAAAACCCTTATACATCGTCTGGAATCGTTTAAAGCCCTTTGAACAGTTTTGCAGTTTGCACTGAAACTGTCTTTTGGTCCTGGAATGTTTTCATCTAAAACACTTAATTTCTTTTCGACTGAAGAAAGAAAGACATGGACATCTTGGATGACATGGGTGTGAGTAAATTATCAGCAAAAGTTTTTTTTAAAAGTGAACTACTCCTTTAAGACTAAGGGATAGTGTACAGTCAGCAGATTGTTATGCTGTTCAGGGTGAGTCAAGACCCCACTGCGAAATTACCCTGCTGCTTATGTGTCTACTTGCAACACAAATAAAAGAGAAAAAACAATGAATTTGATGTATTTTATTACCTCAAGATTACTCACAATACACGTTTGAGTGACCTGTTATCGGTTGTTGTGGAATAACAGACAACTAGATGACATGATTGAAGAAGTGTATACAGTCCAATGTAGACAGCCTTAAGACAAGAGTACAACAGTGGGTAATGGAGAGCGACCGCAGTGTGTTGTGTGCCTCAATGTTAGCAGAATTGAATTTTTGTTGGTTGAATATCCCTTTCATTTATTATGTTTTCAGATACTAAAAAGGGTGTAGTGCTTTCTCGGATGAAACAAAAATGACCATATTTAAACCCATTCGGTGTAATTAACAGATTTCCCCCCAATATCTGATTCTGTCATTAGCTGGATGTGTGTTTTTTTAGGTGGTGTCGGTCGGTATTAAATAGGCTTGCTTAGTGAAGTCAAGTGTGCTCGTGTTGATGCCGGTGAATCATAACATTTGTAGAGAGGACACAGTGATTCCTGTAGGTGTGTGTGGGCTTTTAGTAATGAGTGTGTGTGTGTATTTTTTCTCCTCTGTATCTAGTCATCGTGATCCAGCTCAGTCCAGCTCCAGCTCCCTCCCAGCGCGCAGGTACCATCATCATCATCATGATCATCATCATCACTACATCACCCTCCTTCTCTTCTCTTTACCTTGCATGTTACATTCACTACGCTTTTATCATTCTTTCTTTCTCTTCTAAGTCTCTTTCTCACACTTTCTACTAAAAGTCTACATGAAATGGCATTTGCCAGCCTTTTTACTTTCGTAGAACACAAACACATGATCCAAAAAAAAGGAAAGTGTTTGGAAAGTGGTTAAAGTGCTTAACGTTGTTTTAGAAGCAGATCCTTCTAAAAAAAGTTATCTTGTTTTTGTCTCATTCAGAATAAGTTTGCAATTTTGTATGGAAGCAAAATACTATATCTTAATTTAGCTATTTTTTAAGTTCAAGCGATAATATTTATCATTTCGTAATAAATTACAATCGCTTCTGAAGTTTAACAAACAAAGTCGGTTAAATTTTGTCTATGCTCACTATAGCGTAGACTTAAAATAGCTGTTTTGCATTTTAATATATTTTAAAAGGCAATTTATTCCTGTGATTAAAGCTGAATTTTCAGCATCATTGCTCCAGTCGTCAGTGTCGCATGATCCTTCAGAAATCATTCTAATAAGATGATTTGATGCCCAAGAAACATGTCTTTAATTATGATATGATGTTACATACAGTTCTGCTGCTTAATATTTTTGTGAATTCCAGGATACATATATTCTTTGAGTAGAAAGTTTAAAAGAACAGCATTTTGAAAGCTTTTTTAACATTATAAATGTTTACTGCCACTTTTGATAAATTTAATGCATTCTTGCTGAATAAAATTATTAATTTCTCGAAAAACAACCCACCTCCTCACCCCAAACTTAAATAGGGTAAACTTAAATAAAAGTAAATGGGGTCCATTTTTATTTCATTTTGGCTTTTAATCTCATGTTGACTTTCTTTCATTCATTAATCTCATTTACATAAAAAGTTGCTATAATTTATTTAAATTAGGGATGTCCATATTCACAAATTCCCATGACCGATCGTCGTTTAAATTAATAAATCGATTAATCGTTAGCATTAATGACAAAACAGCATTACAGGGTCTGCAAATGCTGCTCAAAAAGCGATGTTCCTCACCAAATTAATAAGAATGTTTTTTAGTCTAAATAAAGGGTTAGTAGGATTGTAAAACGTTTTGATCTGATTGATAAATTAATTTAATTATTTAATATATAAATATAACGTCAAATACAATGTGTCACCAACGCCGCCTCAGATGCGTGCTTGTCAGAATGTGTGACTGAGTGGACGTCCAAGAACAACCAGTGGCGGCTCCAGACAATTTTGATTGGGGGGGCAATGGGGGGTCCTGGTCATTTCAAGGGGGGGTCTCATGAAAACCAACAAAAAAATACAGTTGACACGGCTAATAACTGCATATTACTGCTACTTAACAACAAAAACAACACAGCATATCAACTACTTTGTTTTTAATTAATTTCGGTTTGCAAACAATATGCTCGAACTTTAATTGCCATAGCCACACCACACCCATTACAGAAAACATATTTACAAAATGTGATGATTGGTTGTAATTTCAGAGGGAGTCAGTAGTGGTGGCTGGGGGTTGATACGAACATGGATGAATAAAGCAGCAGAGAAAATGTTCATGAAAAAGATGCAGTTTAATTCAAGCACAACAATGAACAAAACACATAGGCTAGTATCTATTCTCATACTCTCACCACCTTTTGATTACCCTACTTTACACTTAAAGCCCTGTTTTAAGATAGTTTCTGATGAAATAGAACGGTTAAGATTGAAATTTGGTCAAATTAGCTACTGCTGTCCCGAGAACTTGTGTTAGCACTGGAACAATCATTCATAAAACGCATAAACTTTCGTTTACAAAGACGTGAAACTCACCGAGTGGTCTGGGATGTTCACTGAAATGCTCACGCAAAAATCGCTGCAAAAGATGTTTTCCAAAAGGTTTTAAAATAGTTTTTGTACAACTACATTGACTTGACTTGGGACAAAACTACGATATAAAACCATGGAAGGCATCTTTTACAGCGATTTTATTATGATTTTGTATTCTATTTCATCAGCAACGATCTTAAAACAGGGCTTTAAGAGTAAAATACCGAACTAACCCTTTAAGTCTCCAGTCTCCTCCTGTGTCTACTTCTCTCCTCTTAACTCTCCAGTCTCCATCAAGCAGGCCTCGCCCTCCACGGCAACAGGTATATTTTCACTCCTATTGCTATAATTTCCGTCAGCTCTCATTATATAAAGCGATCCATTTTTAGCTTCGTTGCAGCTCGCGCGGGCTCGCGGTAGCGCCTTGAATACAATGACGCAAGGTGTAGCAGCGACGTTCATGGGGCGTGGCATTGATTCTTGTGTTTATATTTTGTATATGTCGAATAAATTATTTATGATTATTGTTCTGCCTAGTTTGAAGAGAAACATTTTTAAATCTTTATCCTGCATAAATATATTTTTTAATCAGGAAGTGGGTGGGGGGTCGAATGGGGGGTCACAGCGTTTTTTGGGAGGGTCTTAAGACCCCCCAAGACCCCCCCTGGCGCCGCCACTGAGAACAACGCACTGAAAACGGCAAATAAACCCAATGAATTCACAACCATTTAATAAAATAGTGTTCTCATCTTACGTAATTTGACAGTCCCAAATTAACCGTCATTATTATTACGCTGCTGATCCACTTGTCCAACACGACAGTCGCGTTGTGACAAATGTAGGGAGGCGTCGCGACACCACGCGACAGTCGTGTCGGACAAGTGGATCAGCACTTTGGCCAATTTATACTTCTGCGTCGAGGGTACGCCGTTGTGAACGGCGTTGGCTACGCACGTAGGCGACGCCGTTGTGAGCATTTATACTTCTGCGTTCAGGTCTTGGTTGCTCTGCAGTACTGCTCCGAAACGCTAGTTGGCGGCGGAGGGTTTTAATGTTCCACTGTTTACATTCCCCGAGTTGCGGCTAGGTTATTACAAGCCTGAAAGAGAGCGGATCATGTTGGAGTTGGAGCTTATTGAGGTGGAAAAACAGTTAATTTTAGTGAAATTACTAAAACTGAAAAGCAGAAATGAGAGAAGACGTCGGAGGAGATGGTACGTGTGGAAATGCGTGAGAAGGCACGTGCGGAAATGTGTAGGAGGAAATGCGATGCTACCAAGCCGACCAATCACAGATCTTGCGGTCCGCGTCGCCGCGACGTGTAGTTACATTTTTGAGGAGGTGCGCGTCAGGCTACGGCGAAGGGTACGCGGTATGGGACGCGTCTCTGCGTATGCTACGCCGTACCTACTGCGCGCACCCTACGCAGAAGTATAAATTGGCCTTTCGTGCATTCTGCTTGAGTGGCGCGCGCTGAATGAATAACCGTTGAGCACTTTGTTAACGTTTATTTAAAGGTGCCATCTGTAAAAATTGAGGTTAAAATATCCCAAAAATGAGCTACACGCATCAAAAGATTGAGAAGAAATAAGGTTGATGATGTCATTAAAAAACTGACAAGTAATAGTGCTGCCGAGATATTAACCTGAATAAGCATGCTAAGTTACTAGCCCCGGCCCGGCAGGTGTCGTAATACCAGTTTAGACCATGGGAGGCGGTATGCGGGCGGGCAACGTTACCACCAGCCAAACTGCAATACACGAGTGAGTCGCGCTCGCGCCAGCTTGTGTGTTTACTTGAACCTGACGTCAGTCGTGTGGAAAATACAGCCCAGTACTACATTTCAGTTCAGGGAAGAGTTAAAAAAAACGATTGGTCGATATTATGCATGAGGAATACATTTTGGTAAGTTGTAGCATACTGTATCTTTCAACAGTGTTCGTGTTCTTTTACCATTAGCTAGTAGAGATGATCGGTTCACGTGCGCTAGGGATCTGTCGTGTAAAGCGCCAATACTGTATTTATTGTTTGAATTGCGTAATAAAATGAACAGAATCTGAGAGCTGACATCGGTCTCCGTGTCCTTTTCTGTGCATGACAGAATTGATGTGTGGCGTGAGAGTGTGTGAAAAGTGTTGTGAGAGTTGGCAGCTCTGAAAGGCGCTAGCTTGGTCCACGTCAGGGAATGCTGTCTGTCAAATTAATTCAAACTAATGATAAAAATGTAATATAAACAAATCGAATATTATAAAACTAGAAATAATAGCCTGGGCTTTAATTTTCCCATATCGTCGAAATGCACCGGCTTGTCTATGAGATGGCCCTTATAATTTAGTATTGAGATGTTGTTCATTTAGTCTCTAATCTGTAAAAATCTTCAAATGCTCCACACGAAACTGCGGTCTTCCAACCTTTTACTATCGTGTCAATTGATTTGATTAATATGCGCGAGGGAGACAGAGCAACACAGCGCTCGCCCATGTTGTTTGAAGACATGAGAGAGCGCGTGGCCGTGGAGGTATTTCTGGAGGTATACTGCCCCCATCTGGTATGGAATATGTTGTATTATTTGATTTTAAATCCCAGAGGGCACCTTTAACTCAAAGAACCGCATCCTATTTGTATTTATCAGATATATACAAAACAAACATAACAAAATTATATCTGCACAAAATGACGTGACAAAGTTACGTGCCATTCAGAATAACTCATGTTGTGGTGGACGCGCTCTGCCTGAAACAACGCGGCATGGCATCTAAACCCAAATAATTCACAATGTTTTATTACAATATTGTTCTCTTGTCCCAATAGTCGTTCATTGTCGTATGAGATATTTGCGCTAACGATCACGTCAATTCTTTACCAAATGCATCCAATATGAGATAAATCAGATATAGGCGTACACAAAATAAACTATTACAACTTACATTTGCACAAAACAAAAGTCTGCGAATGCAAACTTATAGTCAGGATGAAGGTGTGGATGAAACTTATAGTCCGATGTGTGTCATTCAGTGGGATTCACTTCACCACACCGGCAAGGTTGAGCAGCACGCACGCGCATGATCCTGCTTAATCGATGGCCGATAAGTTTTATCGATTAAATGTATTATCGATCGTCGATTAATCGTTGACATCCCTACTTTAAATGCATGATATGTTTAAAGAAAACATTATTCTTTTTTTCTTTCAGTGCTGAAATCTCATTCTATTTTTGTTCACCTTATTATCTTCCTCTCTTCCTTTCTTTAATTCCTTCACCTGAACATGAAAAGGGATCTGCGAGCGTGTGTGTGGTGTGAGTGTGTGACCTGTGTGTTAGGATTAACTCGTTTTGCTGGACGATCAGACATTGTGCATGTTGTCGGCTATAACTGCACGGCCCGACTGAGCGAACACCTCCACACTCGACAGGTGTTCAGTGTCTGTTGGGTTTGAGCTTGTCTGGCCTCTTTGTCTCTCAGCTCTTTGTCCGTTCTTTCCGGAAGAGACGTCTTCAGCTCTGTTTTCTGCACAGATGTGAATTACGGCCACGTAGTCGCCTGTATGTGTGTGTGTCCAGCAGGTGTTTCTGCACTGAATTGCTTGTCTTGACCTCACTGACTAACCCCAAGCTAACCAATTCTCTCCCATGAACAGGTTTTTTTCTGAGGAGGAATCAGAAGTTCAATGGTTATCCTCTTTATTTACTTTGCTTTCTCAGGGTTTGACAAATGAAGTAAATGGTGTCGTTTCTATGCTCAAACAACATGAAAATGTACTGTATCAATTGTTTAGTTTTGCACGGTTTGGCGAGCGAATACCAAATGTCACCCGGTGGTGACTTCTGCTTGTCTCTCATGAGGCTCTGCCCAGGTGCATGCTGGGAATGCTAACACTAACTCCAATGGCTGGTTTTCACTGTTTGGCAGCCTTTGTCACTTCTATGTGTGAGTGTGTCTGATCTTGGCATGACATGGACAGTTGTTACTGTCTTTGTGTGATTGATGTTCCCTCAGGATTTGACATGTCTTTCAAGACAGTAAAACAGACTTTGACTGGTTTCACATGGACGGAAATTAAACATTGACCCAAAATGTGCTTCACAACTCAGAATAAATATGTAGTGAATCTCACAAAAACTGTCAAGAAATGCCCAGGTCATATTTCAAAAGATGATTCATATTTTTGTTATTATTACAAAAAATGGTTGTTGTTGTTATTATTATTGTCAAATCTGACAATAAATCTTATGTTTTATTATATATGATAATAAAAATATCAAATTCAATTAATAATAATTATTATTATTATGAGACAGAAATCAAAACAAGACATTAACAAGAACAAATTGTTATAAAACAAATTAATTTTGTTTTTATATTACATGTTTTATATTTTATATTAACAGCAATAATTATTTTATTAGATACTGTAACAAGTATGTCTGATTTATATTTTTATATTTTCATCATAACAATAATAATTAGAACAAATCATTTTGATTTATTGCAATAGTTATAATTCCAACAATAAATAAATATAATAAAATACATTATTTTATTTTTTATTATTTAATCACATATATATAATAATTTATTATTGATGTTATATATTTGATAATGAAAGCTTTCAATATATGAAGAGTTCAGATGCAAAAGCCTCTAAATGCCATTTGAAATTTTCTTCTTTAATGATGATTTTTATCAAACTTGTAAAATTTAAGTTCATTATTGTATATTGTATATTCACTTGTATATTTAAGTTCATTAATTTCACTTAAATAACCATTTAAGTGAAATTAATGAACTTAAATATACAAGTTTGATAAAAATCATCATTAAAGAAGAAAATTTCAAATGGCATTTAGAGGCTTTTGCATCTGAACTCTTCATATTGTGAAGAATGGCATTTAAAAATAAGTGTTGCGGTTTGACACTTTTCATACACGTTACGCCCAATTCTTAGTAGTCTACTGTACTATGAGGGAGGAAATAGACCTCAGAGTGAATCTGGATCAGCTCTGGACCCTCAGACCTGAGGCTCTCAATTTAGGGTCCCTCGTGAACATTTGCCCCTGTAATGGCCATCAATTGACGGTCACTGACTTGCAGTCTTCTGTCCATTCTCCCACTCGTTCCAACCTTCTGTTCTGTCTTTACAGCTTTACAGTTACCATTGGCCAACGATGGAGGAAGTCGCTCATCCTCTTCAGAAAGCTCTCCTCAACACCCCTCGTACCCTAGCAGACCCCGACAGATGCTCACGCTTCCCACCCCACCCTACTGCCTACAGAAGAGCCTAGAGAAGTATGTCACGCGGCGCGCACAGCATAGTGTAGTGTGCTCAGCTCTCATTTTAAGAAAGGAAAGGTCTTAATGTGTTAATTGGTTGCTTATGGTTTTCTCTTCAGTGCTGAAATCGATCAAAAGCTTCAGGAAATCATGAAACAAACCGGATATCTGAAGATTGACGGACAGGTGAGTCACCAGCCAGAGTCTGTCTTTATAGATCCTGACGGTATTGAAAGTGGGAAAAGTGACCGACCTCTTGTTTGTGTGTTTTCCAGCGTTACCCTGCAGAGGTGACGGATCTGATCAGTGAGGGGGAGATCGGCAGTGGAACCTGTGGACAGGTGTTTAAAGTTCGCTTTAAGAAGACTGGCCATGTCATCGCAGTCAAGGTCAGTTCAGCGTTCGGTTTCTCTGCTCAATCCATTGGGGCTGATGATTAGTCATGGGCACTTTACAAACGCTTCGTGAAGCATCGATTTGTTTCGAACCATTGATATGAAGCGTGTATTAAACTGCCATAGTCACGGGACATCAGTAAACGAGGGTTCGTTGAGTCGTAACTATTTCGAAACGTTGCAAAATTTCAATGGTTCATCGCTAGAGGGGGAAAGGATCTCTGTGAACCAGGGATTTTTTACCTGATCTCGGATCATTTTTATACATTTAATGACACATTTGTATAACAAAAATTTAGTTGTAGATAAGATAAGTCTCTTACTGGTCTGATTAACCAAGCTCTCCAGTAAACAAACTAAATAAGCTTTACAATTTAATAAAATAAATTAAATTGAATTTAATAGATTACACCTTAAATGAAACGGTCGCTAATGACTTTCTTTTTTAAAAGGTGTATTTATGCATGTTTGAGCTGAGTTTTCGCTGCATTTACACTTTTCTGACCTGCAGGCGTGACCTGATGAACGCTTCGAAATCATTTTGCGAATCAATTGGTTCAAAGTTTCGAAGCGCTTTGTTTCTCACATCACTACTGATTATTAGGGCTGTCAAATGATTAATCGTGATTAATCGCATCCAAAATAAAAGTTTGTGTTTACATAATATATGTGGGTGCACTGTGTATGATTATATTATATGATTATATAACATTTTCATGTATATAGATTTCTATATAATTTATATTATATATAAATATAACTATTTTATATATAAATAATATTTTTTCCTTAAATATACATGCATGTGTGTTTTTATATATACAAAATAACAATATATATATATATATATATATATTTAAGAAATATTTTCATGTATATAGATTTATATATAAATATAAATATTTTATATATAAATAATATTTATTTCTTAAATATACATGCATGTGTGTTTTTATATATACAAAATAACTATATATATATATATATATATATATATACAAAAATAACTATACACAGTGCACCCACATGTATTATGTAAACACAAACTTTTATTTTGGATGCGATTAATCGTTTGACATCCCTACTGATTATGCGAAGTTAGTCTTTTTCTGGATGGGATTAAACCAGGAGTTTTCAAATTATTGAGCAAGGACCTCTAAATATGATGATGTCTTTGTGGGGGACCTCATTACTAACTATAAAACATACTATGCATTTTAATACTCAAACTTCAGATTTTTATTGATTTAACAAATTCAAAATGATTGCCATTTATGTTGTCATTGTGCTAAAGTCAAAAGCAGAATCTCTTTCAATGATGGCGTTTGTATATCCATGTGTTTGTCTTGAACTTTCCTCGTAATTACCGAGTCATTAAAACAGCAGTTAAGGCTGGAGTAATTACTGTTTACTAATTACATCCCTGGTGTTGTTTTAGTAGTTGTTTGATTGTGTTCCCCTATTTTTCTGTGCAGCAAATGAGGAGGACGGGTAATAAAGACGAGAATAAGAGAATCCTCATGGATCTGGACGTTGTGTTGAAGAGTCACGACTGTCCGTACATCATTCAGTGCTATGGAGCAATAGTCACCAATGTGAGTGTCAAGTCACCTTTTTATATATATTGCTTTATACTATACAAATTGTTTCAAAGCAGCTTTACAGTGATAAACAGGAAAATTATGCAAACAGTATGAAATTCTGCTGCTCTAATAAGACAACCGTAAACAGTCATTATTCAATTGAAGTCAGTTAAATGTTGATTCATTTTGGTTCAGTGACTGTGTAAAGTGCATCATTTATGAAATGAGTTCAATAGGCTTAATGCACAACTTACTTCCGCATTCTGTAAAACAGGTCGCATCGCTTCCGGTCCAGGTCTTTTGTATGTGCTTCATGAAATTTTTTGCGGTTTTACTCAAGATAACTTAAAAGGAGCGAGTAAAGATTAGCATAACCAATATCCCTCAGATGTGCAGATTGATATTTAAACGTTTTATATTTTTCTTCTTCACAGTAACGTTTTGATATTTAAATGGAATAAAACGCCAATAACAAAGTGAACTAGTTAGGTTAGCTGATTACCTTAAAAATCCATAGATATCGTAGTCAGTTCTTACGGCCGTTAACACTTTCTCTGACAAGCGGATGCGATGAGACCCGTTTTCCGGTTTTGTCACGTGACGCTCCGCATAAAGCCTATTGAGCTATTAGGCCGTGTGTCCACCAAAGCGTTTTTCCAGGCGCCTGGCGTATGTTTTCAATTGTTTTCAATGGGAGCGCCGCGTTTTTTAAATGCCATGAGCGTAACAAGGCACTAAGCGTTTTTTTTTTTCACGCTGAAGTGCCTGCCGTTTTTTACTGGTCGCCGATAGTTGAAAAATCACTCATCACTGTCACTTTTTACCCTGCCGTCCAATCACAGTGGAGGAGGGGCGGGACTAATACCACACTGACCAACTGTCACAACATTCTTTCTGTACAACGACATCAACCAACAGAGCTGACCGAACAAAATGGATGAAAAATACATTTTTAGTATGAAACTAATTATCTGCGAAATCAGTAACAAGTAAACTGTGCTGCGGATATTCTGTATCATAGCAACGAAACGTCTCAACGGAAAAAAACAAAGCGCTGTCAAAACGCTCTCAAGCGCCCAAAGCACGGCGTCTTCAGCAAATGCTTTGGTGGACACATGGCCTAAAGCAGCTCTGTGGAAAATAGTGATGTCATCATCCAGCTTTTCATCCAATAGTGTCTATGCAGTCAAATCAGTAATATTGCTGAATAATAAGTGTCCTCAACTAAGCAAGCCAAAGGTGACCGTGGCAAGGAACCCAAACTCCATCAGGTGACAGAAATGGAGAAAAAAAACCTTCTTCTGGCCAACGAACGATTCAGGCTGCATCAGAAGTCAGATTGTGGATGGGTAGCATTCAAAATATTTCATCCAGTTCCTTCTGCTTGAAGATGGGATTCATCACGCTGGTATGGAGACGAAGCTGCCCATTGGGGTCTGGTTCTTGAGGTCTTTGCTGAGGATCTGACGTGTCGACAGGGTCTTCACAGGGGATTGTTCTAGTAGACACGGTCTCTGCTGACATTCAGGGCTGCCATGAGGTCGTGTCTAGGTGCAGGTCCACCATCTGATCTGGATACGACCCGGATCCGGCTGACTACGGTAACCTCGAGATGAGACAGACAGGCTTCTTACGATGTAACAAGAACATCTGGTGTTATAGGATGTGTTCCCGGTTGACCTAATTTATGCTCCCTAATAATCCTTAAATGGATTTGAATAGAAATATGATAATGTTGTTATGTGTATGCCAGGTTAAAGAGACGTGTTTTTAGTCTGATTCCCGAACAAGGGTAGGGTATGTAGTGTGTAAGATAGTTGTTTGTGAATGTAAAAGGTCTTCAAAGTTATTGTCTCCTAAAAGAAAGAATCGATTCTGAACTTCCGAAACAAGTCGTCATTGCCATACTTCCTTTCACAAATTTGCATAATGCCTGTCTATGTTCTTCATTGGCTGCCCACAAGCGACGTCTACTTTGACCCACCTTCAAACACTGTATTTGTAGCTGAGGCCCGGAAGAGTTTGGTTTGTGTTGTCAAAATGTCGAGAAGACGCTGTGAATCATCTTTCCATGCTCTTCAAAAAGATGAGGATGTGCTGGAATTGATAAGGAGCAAACCATGACCATCGTTCCTATAACTGTGTATCAAGCTTTGAGGAAGCCTCCAGAGGAGAAATTCAGATATGGTAATAGGCATTTGGGTCGACCAATCACAACAGACTGGTCCGTGTGACTAATCAGAGCTGGGTAGGCTCGTAGAAAGGAGGGGTTTAGAGAGACAACTTTAATTACAATCTAATTACCAAATTAAGAACCATTAAAATAGCATAATAGGGACACTTTATGTATATTGAATTATTTAAAGGTAAATCTTTTTCTCGGTAGACGGATGTGTTCATCGCCATGGAACTGATGGGGACGTGTGCAGAAAAGCTGAAGAAGAGGATCCAGGGGCCCATACCTGAGGCCATTCTGGGAAAGATGACCGTGGCCGTAAGACTTTTTAAAAAAAAATTTACCTGATTTAGAAAGCCATCTATTATTGGTTCGATATTGGGCTGTTTGCAAGAAACTCTTAGATCCTGTTTCATCTCACACTTTTTCTTTTTGTATGTAGATCGTGAAGGCTCTGCTTTATCTGAAAGAGAAACACGGTGTCATTCACCGAGACGTGAAGCCATCTAATATCCTGTTGGATGACAAAGGGCAGATCAAACTGTGCGATTTTGGCATTAGTGGCCGACTTGTGGATTCTAAAGCCAAGACTCGCAGCGCCGGATGTGCTGCATACATGGCGGTGAGCACACATTGGGATTTTGACAAATATTTAATATATTAACATTATAGGGTACAATCAAATCAAAAATGTCGCTAATCAAAAATGCTAATTTATCCTGCTGTCGTTAAAGCAAAAGTTGGACAAAATGAATGCATTTGAGTCCATATTATGCATCATGCATGTTTCATCTCTTGTGTATGTGTTGGTTTTTTTAGCCTGAGAGAATAGACCCTCCGGACCCCAGTAAGCCAGACTATGACATCAGAGCTGACGTCTGGAGTCTTGGCATTTCTCTGGTGAGTTCTTCTGCCTACATTTTGTTGAGCCGACCCTCGTTTACCTCGTCAGGAAGGAATGATAGTAAAGACATTTTATAATGTTGCAAAAGATTTGCATTTCAAAATAAATGCGTTTTTTTGTGTGAAGGTTCTATGCATCAAATAATGTATCCGTTTACACAAAAAAAAGATTAACCAGCAAACACTGATTTCAACATTGATGATAACAAAATCTTTTTATAATAGTGCATTAAATCAGCATAATACAATAATTTCTCATAAGAGAATGTGACACTGAAAAATGAAGTAATGATGCTTTGTCATCTCAGGAATAAATTACGTTTTAAAATATATTAAAATGCAAAACGGTTATTTTAAAATAGTCATTTTTCACAATATTAATATTTTACTGTAACTTTGACCAAATAAATGCAGCATTGTTGAGCTTAAGAGACTTGGGCCGTGTGTCCATGCTCTGCTGAAGATGCCGTGCTTTTGGCGCTTGAGAGCATTTGACAGCGTTTCGTGAGACGTTTCGTTGCTATGATACAGAATATCCGCAGCACAGTTTACTTGTAACTGATTTCGCAGATAATTTGTTTCATACTAAAAAAATATTTTTCATCCGTTTTGTTCGGTCAGCTCTGCTGGTTGATGCCGTTGTACAGAAAGAACGTCGTGACAGTTGGTCAGTGTGATATTAGTCCCGCCCCTCCACTGTGATTGGACGACTGGGTAAGAAGTGACAGTGATGAATGCTGCGTTTTATCCAAAGTTGAACATTTTTCAACTTTCGCCGACCAGTAAAAAAACACCGGGCGCTCAGAGTTTCAGCGTGAAAAAAACGCTTAGTGTCTCGTTACGCTCAAAAACGCGCCATTGAAAACAATTGAAAACATTCACCAGGTGCGTGGAAAAACACTTTGGTGGACACACGGCCTTATTGTAAAAAAGACAACATTACAAATCTTAACAACCCCCAAAGTTTTGGACTGTTTGTAAATGTAATTAAAGAGCTGTATTTAAAAAAAACAACATAGTTGAATAACTGAAAGTGATTCTTTATATTCCTCCCCGCCTGCAGGTGGAGCTAGCCACGGGGCAGTTTCCTTACAAGAACTGCAAAACAGACTTTGAGGTTCTCACCAAAGTTCTGCAAGAGGACCCACCAGTCCTTCCTCTCGGCATGGGCTTTTCCCCTGACTTTCAGTCCTTCGTCAAAGACTGGTACTCCCACATACAGTTACATAAACACGGCAAATTTTAGCACCCGTATGGGTCAATAGAGAGCCTAAGTCCCGCCCCTCCGCTTCGGAAAAAATATGAATGGTAGGCAATGGCGAGAGACAACTTATCTTTTTATTCCGTCTGAACTGTGCCCTGAATTACACATATGATGTTTGTCAATTTAAAAGATAATTCTGAAAGTCAAAAACGTCGCAGTTTGTCGTACAAAAGAAGAGTAACATTTAGTTTTATGTGAAAATCGCTCTGTGAACTACATCTCCCAGGAAGAGAAACGAGATCCGCTGCTTGTGTGTGTGTGCAGTCTGGTACAAAACACTCAGGTAGGACGGCGTTACGTTACGATTATAACGTAAGACTGTCGAAATAATGACAGACAGCCTCAGTAAAGTTAGCTTCATTCATTGGGAGAAAATGTGCGCCTTTGGGGTTTGTAGTCTTTGTAATTACCTATTTTCACAGTCTTATACCTCAACGGTTTTACATCAAACTGTGACTTTCTTTACTTTAAAATGTATCTTTTAAATTGACAAACATCATATGTGTAATTCAGGGCACAATTCAAACGAGATCAAAATATTTGTTGTCTCTCGCCATTGACTACCGTTCAATATTTTTCCGAAATAAGGTCCCATGGTGGTCGACCGGAAGGGGAGGGACTTAGGCTCTCTATAGTGTTTGTGTGCTAATTCTACACAGATCTTAATTTTCTTTATCTCTGCAGCCTCACAAAGGATCACAGAAAAAGGCCAAAATACCACAAGCTGCTTGTAAGTCTCAAACACTTGAGCATTACTTGTAGTGCTCAGTTCAGTATCATGATCTGTTTTGTTCTTCTTCAGGAACACAGTTTTATCCGTCGCTACGAGGTGTCCGAGGTAGACGTGGCGGGCTGGTTCCAGGCGGTGATGGAGCGCACAGAGTCTCCCCGCAGCAGCCAGTGCTTCAACCATCACCAGCTCCACTCGCTCTTCAGCAGGTAGCCAGGCGGAGAGCGCCAGAGAAAGAAGGATGCGACGTTGAGGAGTTGATTTAGAGACACGGATGGACAGGTTTGAAATGTAAATTGCGACAGGATGGAGTGGACATGGACCGATTGAGAGGGGAGAATATGGCAGAAACAAAAGCTAGAATGTTCATTTTGGAGTTTGACTGATCGACAGACAATCCTGGGCAGGTTTGATGTAAATCTGAAATCTTTTTGTCCTTCTCATCCACCCATTGAACAGGATGGACCATTACAGGTTGCAGTCTAACGCGCTCGCACACACATTTGCAGTAACACTGTTTCACTAAACCTGACCGGCATATAAAGATTAGCCACAAGAGTAAGCGTACAGTGTTTTTAGTTAACTTTCAAATCCGTACATCATGAGGTCCACCGTAGCCCCTTACTCAGGGACTGAACAGAGTAGTCGAACAACACTGTGCAATGGTGTGTGTGTGTGTTATCCGTTTATCAGTCCTAGTTCAGAAGTACAGCCATTAATTGAATCCAAGCAAATAGAAACTAGCTGTGTGATGTTTTATAGACGTGTTCTTTTCGGCAGACATTTCAGTGATTGTAACACATACTTAAAGCGTTTATAGTGGTAGAACTTCTAATCCTTGATGTTTAGATTTTTATAACTAGTTTGGCCTGGACTCTAATGTATGGAAGTAGATTTATCGCCTAAAAAAGAAGATTGTATATTAAGAAAACACTAGTGGTTGACCGATAAGTGTGTTTTTAAAAGGTGAAGTGTCATTTTCTCGATGAAACAGTGCTTCTTATCCCAATTTAAAAGGCCAAATCATCTATAAATGAGAAATTTGTGTTTGTCTGAGCAGCCTTACCCAGCAAATGGGGGGGGATTGTTCAGAAAAACATTATTTAATCATCATTTGTGCAATTCCGTTAATTGTAGTCCTGCACAAATTACACACTTCACTTTTACTGGCGATGCTGGTGTCTCATCAGCCAATGGCGATAATCTCAAAATTGCCAAATTTTGCACTATGTATCGGTCTATCACTAGATAAAACACACAAAAAAATTAGCCCAGAGTCATAACAACGCACACCTCAGGAAGACAAGTGTTAGAAATGGGGATTTTTAACAGGATTTAGCCGAGTGTCTGAGGGGTGAAACCACAATCAAAGTCACCAAAAGCAAACGTGAGAGATGTTGTCAGTCACTCAGAGACAAGCGGGGGACTTTTCGCAGGTCTCATTTCTGCTTTTATCACCCGTTCGATCTCTTTCCCGTGAGTATTTGAGTTCCCGCAAACCAAAGCATTTTTTTTTTTATGACACAGCACTGCTTTTTTTCCCTGCCAAGCTGTTTTCAGCATCTGCTCATGGGTCACGCTGAAGATGTTCGGCGACTTTCACAACCAAAGCTGTAGAGTTCGAGATTCACTGCTTTTATGAAGCCAAATCACTCGCCTGAGGAGGGGAAAATGTGACTTAAATCAGCAAAGAAAGATTTAGAGGGCGATGGCACGTTTAGAGGAAGCATGGTGTTATAATGGACTGAAGAAAGAGTGGAGGAAATAATGGGACGGGAGAGAAAATTAGGAGGAAGGCATTTGAAAGTATGAAAGAAAGTCTCCAGTGAAGTCTTATAGAAAGTTTTGAGAGGTTTGGTGAGATTTCAGGGCTGACAGGAACAGGTGTTGGTGGTTTTCTAGATCGCTGTGTTTTGAGCTAGCTGGACGTTGCATAAAAGCTTTCAATCGTTTTGGAACCAATGTACCAATTTTTATTTTTAGGGTTATTTGTGTTTTGCTTCTTACGGTTTTGTTCATTATCCTTGAAACTTTGTTCTTATTGTCTGCTATTATTATTATTATATTTATTTATTATCTTACTGCTGCTACTGTTTACTTTAGATGCTGCTCTCAGTGATTATATTCCCCAAAGGATGATTCTTCTTCTTATTTTTTTTTCTAAACCAAATGCATAAAACACTGCAATGTCTTCTACACATTTACCAAATACGAGAATGATTACTAGTAAAGTGCGTGATGTGATTCATAAAGAGAAAGCAAGCAAGGAAGGAAGTGAATTGAGAATCTCTATTTACCTATATCTATATTTATATCTCAATAGTTTGTTTTTTGAAACTCACAAACGTCACGGCTCACTCTGAGCTACTAATAAGAACGACTTCCATGTATTTGTACAAAATAACAGACACCAGCTGGTAATATCTATATATATTTGAGCTAGATTTCCCTTATTACGTCATTAGCCGCATCATTAGTCACACACACAGATATGTTTGTAATTGTCCTCCTGTGTCCGTCCTGCGGTGGATGAATTCATCAAATAGTCAGTTATGATTCACCTCGTTCAATATTTTGGCTGCTTTGATTTATGCTCATTTGTTTGACTATGCAATAACACATATTTAGTGAAAGAATTCTGTCCCGAATTCATCACTTTGGATCTGATCATGAGTCCGTTTGTAAGTTTTCCTTCGAATTGGATTGACAAATTAATCAAAAGAGCCAATAAAACAGATGAATGTGTAAAATGCAGGGTTTATTTTCTTACAGTACGCTTAACTATTTATCTCCCAATAGTTTCTTTGCCGTTTTCACATGCCAAATAGAATCTCTAACAGGACTCTCGCTGTCAACATAACACTGGTTTCCTGTGTGGTGTTGATATTCATCACAGATACTGTGGTACCTGCCTGTCTGTCCGTCCGTCATTCTCTCTTTAGACCTTAGACCTATAACCGCAGCATTACACACCAAAGGTGTCATCAATAAAACATTCAAACCAGTGGCGTTGTTGTCATTAGGATGATTATTGTTATTCTAGATGATACTGGATTGTTCTGAGGGATACACAGCTTCATGTATGTAATTTCCTGACTGATGCGAGTGAGGTACTGGAAATGGCATCTTAGTGATGTGTTATTTTTCAGTCCGTCACCCTTCTCTGTTGGGCTTTTATTTTGCTGGCACACACACTTATGGAAGCTTGTTTCGTTAAAGGGATAGTTCACTTTGAAATTATTTTTTGGTATGTTTTAGCTTACCTCAAGGGCATCCAAGATGTAGGTGTCTTTGTTTCCACAATAGTTTCAATTTTGATATTTTTAGGTCAAACCGTTCTTGTCTCTCAGTCATATAATGGAGGTCTATGGTCACCACCTCAAAGAGCGTGCACAGAGAAGTCCAAATTAAACATGATTTAATGACTCGTACACATTGATGGCCTAAGACACGAAACGAGTGGTTTGTGTGAGAAAACAAAAAAAAATCAACGTTGTCTGTTTATCGACTTCCATTGCAATTTCCTGTATATCTTAATATGTTTAGATCTTCACAGTGAAAGGTAACACTTCTGAAATCTCTTTATAAACAATGAGTGACGTACACGCGCAAGAGATCACTTTCGGTGCTTTCCGGCGCTCTTGTGTAGACCGAAGTACCCACGCCTTCAGATCACTTGGACGTGGCTGTGGTTACAAGAGGTAAAAACGATATAAATACTGTTCGTTTTCTCACACAAACCGCTCATTTCGTGTCTTAGCCCATCAATGCGTACTTACATTTACGAGTCATTAAATCATATTTAATTTGGACTTATCTGTGCATGATCTTTGAGGTGGTGACCATAGACCTGCATTATATGACTGACAAGAACGGTTTGACCTGAAAATATCAAAATTGAAACTACTGCGGAAACAAAGACACCTACATCTTGGATCCCTTTGAGGTAAGCTAAAACATACCAAACATTAATTTCAAAGTGAACTATCCCTTTAAAAATTGCAATTGCAAATTTATATCTCACAATTCAGACTTTTTTCCTCAGAATTTTCGAGAAATAAACTCGCAATTCCGACTTTCTCACAATTGCGCAATTAAAAAATGTAAAAAATTCACGTTTACATTTTGCAATTCTGATATTTTGTCACAATTCCAAATTCTGAGAAAATCTGAAAAGCAAAAAACGAATTTCGAGATATTTATTGCGAGATATGATTTTCTTCAATGCAATTGCAAGAAATTCTGAGTCAGAATTCTGATATAAACTCTCAATTGCGAGAAAAGAATTTTGATAACCTCACAATTGTTAGAAAAAAGTCTGAATTTCAGGTTGCAATTCCGATTTTCTTTAGAATTGTAAGATTACTTTGCAATTGCAATCTCGTGAAAGATCAGAATTACGAGTTTGAATTTGAGAAATTCTGAGATAAAAACTTGCAATTGTGACTTCTGTTATAATCTCGCAATTATGTGAAAAAAGTCAGAATTGCGAGATAAAAAGTTGCAATTACCTTTTTTTGGGGGGGGGGGGGGGGGCAGAAACAAGCATCCATACACACCTTTAAGGAAAGATTATCTCTGCGATGCTTATGTTTATGGTTTATTCTTGGTTTAAAGTGTACTTCCAATCACTGTTTTCTGGCACTATTTAAAATTTGTTTTTTCATTGTAATTATCATTATTATTTTTTATTTGCTTTTAATTGATTCTGAAATCAAAGCATCAGTTATTTGTGTTTTATATTTTGAAATCTGCGTTTCTGTGAATAGGACAGACACACCCAACCCATTTCTGCGGGCGGTAGTAGTACACATCCCTGAACACCAAATTATGTTAACTAAACCAGTGCGTGCTGCTGTTTCATTTGCATTGTTTATCTGTATGTGCGTGTGTGTGTGTGGCAGCATCACTGTTATTTTTGGTGTGTGTGCTCAGGCGTGTACTTTGCTGTCATATTGAGTCGAGTCTTTGTTACTTTTTTAGAATTGTTGTTTTTTTTTTTTAAATGATCATAATAATGCCCCATCTGTAATTAAACCAAATACACTCACTATGCAGTCACTCAAATCAAGTCCGTTTGCATCCCCCCTCCCCCCTCCTGTATATACACAACTACTGGAGTCTCTGTGAAGAGCGAGTGAGTATGACTTCCTCAGCTAGAGCGATCAATAGAGAGAGTGTTTTTCTTCAGTGAGCTGACATATTTAAGGATTGTACTGGGATTGGGTGGGTGGGGTGTGTTTGGGGTTGGTAGTTCGGAGAAATAGTTTGTCAAGTGCTGTAAGTATGTCAATTGCATGTTAAGTAACTGCCATTGATTTTACATTTTGTTGTGGGTTGGGGGAGGGGAGACAAGTATTTTCTTTTATTTATGATTTTTACTTTATATTCTGTATTTTCCCCCCCCAATACATTGTGTTTTTAGAAAAAGACACACTTTTGCCTTTTTATGATCTTAATATGCATTTGCAATTTTTACGTTCATCATTGTTGGCGGATTTCAAGCTGTGATGATATTTTGTCGTTTGTTTTTCTTCCATGTTGTGTTTGTGTTGATCTGTGAGCGAGCGCTAAGAGAGGTTTTAGCCAGACATTTTGTCTTCAGCTGTTAGAAAACCAAAAGTCTATTATTTTGTATCTGTTTTGGTCCTTTGTAACCATTTATTTTCATACCTATTATCTTCAGGGTTAAGATCACACCAAATTAAGATGAGAAAGGTGGAACAGATTGCAAGGTTCCTGAGAATGTTTGTGCGAAGGTGTGTCTTTTTCTGTCGAAGCGAAGCAATCATTTATTGCTCTTTCTTTTTTTTGTGTAGTTCTTTTTCTTTCTTTCCCCTATAGAGTTGTTATCACAGCTCTTTTTTGCTGTATGGTTACATTGTGTCTTTATGTGGAAATCTCACCATTTTTAGCTGCTGTTGCACTGGAGGTTTTTTTTAAATTATTGTTGTTATTATTATTATTATTATTATTATTATTATTATTATAAAAAAATTGTCATGATGGAGTTTAGAACCATGTAGTTCACCAAATTCTGTTTGACTCTCATAGATGGAGTTTAGAAGTGTTTAAACCTGCTAATTCTGTTTGATGCGGCCGTTGACATGCTGTTCAAGTCAAAAAGAACAGATTTCCATTATGTACTCTATTGTTGTTGGCATCTTGATACAGCTTGGAAAATATATTGTAAGAATTAGAAATGTTTTGTGCCAACAACAAACTTAGACAACCTTTCATGTTTTCTGGTATATCTATGGATATATGAAAGTTATATAGATATTATGATGCAACGTTTTTACTTTTTGGGATTAGTTTGATTTAAACTAAGATATTTGATGTGGTATTTTAAAAATAAGACTCAACTACAACAGCTTGTCTTTTGTGAATATATCTATTTTTTTTTACTATTTATTGTTTCCTTTTTTTGGGTACCATTTTAATATTCGAATGGAGCAGAAATATCCAAAACTGTTGTATTGAGATACAGCTATTACAGTTTTATCATCATTCTGATGCCCCCTTCCCCACTTTTTTTTTTTTTTTTTTTGTTTTTCATTTCAAATGAAAGAAATGCCATTATATTGTGAATACCTCAGGATTTTTTTTTCTTTTGGGAAAAATTACAAAACTTTCAAAAACCTAAAACAAATAAAACACAAAAAAAGTGTTTGTGTGGTTTATTTTATGTGTTGTAATCAGACCGAGTTTTCTCTTCTGCCACTGAAACAGGAGGCGGCAAAATGTTCATGCTTGTGTCCATAAAACAGAATGCCACCACCAATCCACAATTTATTCCACTGAAATTTTTTGCAGAATCAGAATAATTAATGTGAGCGATCACCATTTGCAATATGTTTCATCCTACCATAATCAGTTGCTAGTATCATTATTGAAAATGCTCAAAAACATGCTAAAAGTTCATATGAGTCAAGTTCTCTGGCTATATGGCGTAAGTCAACTCAGTAGATGTTTGATAGGCTACATATACACACAAACCTGAGCCCCTGGCAATATCAAAATAGAATATTTTACTAAATTGAGTTTTATGGATAGGTACTGTGTAATTTACTTTCATATAATGCTTACTTAAATTTTGTCAGGTTTTTGTCCTTAAAAGATTAGTTCACTTTAAAAATAATAATAATTTAGGCCTACTCACCCCACAGATAGTATAAGAAGGACTCACCCCCATGTCATCGAAGATGTCTTTCTTTAGTCGAAAATGAACAAATCTTTTTTTGAGTCTTTTTGTTCGTTGAATGAACCAAATGACTCGGAAAAAAGATTCGTTCATTTTGATGAACGAGTTCGAACAGGAGAGTCACGAACGCGCATCACAGAACAGAGCAAGGCGAGCATTTGAACTTATAAAACTTAAACTTTTTTCATTTAGTTTTAAAATGACCGATCGTTTTGCTAGATAAGACCCTTATTCATCGTCTAGTGTCGTTTAAAGCCCTTCGAAGCTGCAATGAAACTGTCATTTGTACCTTAAAACTGTTGGAGTCCATTGAAGTCCATTACATGAAGAAAAATCCTGGAATGTTTTCATCAAAAACCTTAATTTCTTTTCGACTGAAGAAAGAAATGTAGCGGGTAATGTATTGAGAAGAGAATATTATCGTTATGATTGGTTATTTCACTGGTTCATGTAGTTTGTAATGGTGCAGTACCGAAAGAATCCAGCAGGGGGTGGGACACGGTTCCCATAATATAGAGATTTGAGAGAACGCAACAAGTGTCTGTCTTGATAATATTATGTTCCCCTCTTCAGGTAATCCCTTAAAATATATGAATATTTGATGTTAAATCTTAATATCTTATGTTAATATGAGTTTGTGAATATAGGGTGTTCGATAATTGTTATATAAATTACCTGTATTGTGGAAAAAGAGATGAGATTGTCGCACATGGCGAACGTGAATATTTTCCGATGCTACCATTAGCACGTCTCAATGCACTGTATTGTTAGTACATAAAGTTGAATTGACAGTGTTATTAT